ACCTTAAAACTAACATAGGACGCTGCCTGAAGACCCTACAACTCTACTGCTCCACAAGGGGAGCTCACGGTGGGTCCTGCACACACCACCCCTGGCAAATCCTAAGCAGCTACTACAAGGTTCCATTTTGAGGGTCCATCCCTCAGCAGACTGAAACCTGTCATTAGGCCCAAAAGCCTCTGCATCTCCATATCCTGGGTCCCCCGTTGACATCCTCCACCCAATTCTACTGCCAGGCCCAAAGTGTAAGCCATTGGCTGTGACACTGCCCACCCCCAGCAGTTGGCCACCACACATTTACAAGCAAACTAAGGACAGGCTACCTCATGCACATCTTCCACTTAGGACCAAAGCATGCACTCCCCAACCACCTGCCCATGGTTGCTGCCACTGAAAACAACCCTACCCTCTAGCAGCAGGGTCACAGGGCATCTGCTGCCACCCTCACCCAAGCATTCTCCCAGGGACCTGGTGTATTGGTCAGAGTTCTCCAGAGGGACAGAACTAATAGAATATGTGTATATATGAAAGGGAGTTTATTAAGGAGAATTGATTCACGCGATCACAAAGTGAAATCCCGCAATAGGCTGCCTTCAAGCTTAGGAGTTAGGAACCCAGTAGTGGCTCACTCGGAGTCCCAAAGCTCAAAAGCAGGGAAGCTGACATTGCAGCCTTCAGCCTGTGGGTCAAAGGCCTGAGAGTCTGCAGCAAACCACTGGTGTAAGTCCAAGAGCCCAAAGGCCGAAGAACCTGGAGCCTGATGTTCAAGGGCAGGAAGCATCCAGCACGGGAGAGAGAGATGAAAGCCAGAAGACTCAGCAAGTCAGCTTCTTCCCCTTTCTCCCAGCTGCTTTCTGTAGCTGTGCTAGCAGCTGATGGGATGGTACTCACTTAGATTGAGGGTGGGTCTCCCTCTCCCAGTCCACTGACTCGAATGTTAATCTCCTCCGGCAACACTCTTACAGACACACACAGAAACAATACTCTGCATCCTTCAATCCAATGAAGTTGACAATGTTAACCATCATATCCATGATCACTGTGCCCCTGTCTACCACAGCTAGCGCCTGCACACACTGCCAGTGGGTGTTGAAGACAGACCTGCCTCGCCCAGCTGTGCCTCTTCCCACAGTGCCCAACCATACTGTCCAGGAGCCTGGGGATCACCCTGCCTCATCCACCACTTTTGGCATGTGAGCACTCCTTCCAGGAGCCTAAGGATGGGCCATCCAACCTGCTGCTACCACCACAGCTGGCACCCACCTGCATGCGTGACCTACGGGCTTCAGGACTGGCCCAACTAGCAAATTTCAGCCCCTGCCAACCCCAGTGCAGACTGCTCGGAAACAAGAAGGCTGTCCCACTACTGCGACTGCCATCATCTATGCCATGCTCACTGTGCAGGGGCCCAAAGACCCATCAACCTATCCAGCCCACCACTGCCACTGCCAGCACCAAAGCAAGCCATTTGGAGGCCCAAGAACCAGCCTGTCTAGACCTGCTAACACTGGTGCCAGTGCACATTTCCCTGGGGCTCAACAACAGGCATTCTCAGCCTACCACTGCCACCACTGGGACACAAGGACTGGCCCATTTTGTGTCCCCATCCCTAGCAGAATGTCACCACAGCCTCCACTAACAACCACACCCTAGGCCGCTGCTATTGATGCTAGCTACAGCCAAAGAAGTCATACAGAGACTACACTACTGCATGCACCTGGAATCAAAGCCAAAGTGCCCTACACAACCAATACCATAGATACATCCTCAGAAAAATGTCCTCCCTTATGAAATCAAATTCACAAAATTGGAATAAGTGATTGTTACACCAGATGTGCAGATATCAGTGTAAAGACACAAGAAACATGAAAAACCAAGGAAATATAGCATCTTCTAAGGAACACAATAATTCTCCAGCAAAAGATTCCCATAAAAAAGAAACTTACAAAATCCCAAAAAGGAATTCAAAATAACGATGTTTTAAAGCTTAGTGAGATAGAGCAGAACAAAGTAAACAATACAAAGAAATCAGAAAAGCAATTCAGGGTATGAATGAGAAATTTACCAAAGAGATAGAGGTCATAAATAAAAGAACCAAACAGATTCTGAAACTGGAAAACTCATTGAATGGAATTAAAAAATATATTCAAAAATTTCGATAATAGACTAGATCAAGCAGAAGAATTTCAGAACTTGAAGACAGATCTTTTGGAATAACCCAGCCAGACAAAAATAAACAAAAAGGAATTTAAAAGAATGAGCAAAGCCCACATGACACATAGCACACTATTAAGCAACCAAATGTTTAAATTTTTGGTGTCTCAGAAGTGAGAGAAAATATAAGAGATCGAAAACCTATTTAACAAAACAATAGCTGGAAATTTTCCAAGTCTAGCAAGAGATTTAGACATCTAGATAACAGGAAACTCATAGATCTCCAAATAGATACAATTTAAAAAGGTCTTCTCCATGGCCCATTATAGTCAAACTGCCAAAAGTCAAAGACAGAGAATTCTAAAAACAGCAAGAGAAATGTGTTTAGTCACTTATAAGAGAACCCCCATCAGACTAACAGCACATTTCTCAGCAGAAACCTTATAGACCAGAAGATAATTAGATTATATACTCAAAGTGTTGAAAGAAAAAAAAATGCGAACCAAAGATACTATACCCAAAAACTTATTTATAAATGAAAGAGAAATAGTCTTTCCCAAATAAGCAAATGCTGAGGGAATTCATCACCACTAGACAAGTTCTACAAGAAATGATTAAGGAAGTTCTATACCTGGAAACAAATGGATGATATCCACCATCATGAAAACACATGAGTGTATAAAGCCCACTGGTAGAGCAAACACACAAATAAAGAAAAGAAAGGACTCAAATGTTACCACTAAGGAAAATCACCAAACCACAATAATAAACGATAAAAGAGAAAGAAAGGAACAAAGGATATACAAAAATCTTGAAATCAATTGATAAAATAAAAACAGGAATAAGTCCTCACATATCAATAATAATCTTAAATGTAAGCAGATTAAACTTTCCATGTAAAAGATATAGACTGGCTAAGTGGATTAAAAAACAAAATAAAACATGCTCCAATTATATGTTGCCTTCAAACATAGTGAAAGTATTCTAGCTTGATGCATAAACTAACCAAGGAGTATACCCTTGTAACAAACCAACTGAGTCTCAGCCAGTTATAGTAGCTGAACCCTCAGCAAATCTCAGGCTTTAAATTGCCAGATTATGCCCAAATAAAACAAACCTCAAACAGTACCAATCATTTAACTCCTATATGTCATTTCTTGTTTTCTGATTTTTAAGTATAGCTCACCATGTTGGAGGTGGGGGTACTCTGAACAATATTTGGTTCAGAATGCTTCCCAGTTCTAAAACCTGTTCCCTGCACAAACTTTGTTAAATTTAACCTGTCTTAGGTTTTTCATTAATAATTGTAAAATATAGCATACAAAGAAACGAGGATAAAACTTTCAGGAATATTTTTAACAAATATGTGCAGCAAACCCTAGCGGTCAAGAAATATATTGCCAACACCCCAGCAAAAGCTACACCAAGCATACCCTTCTTCCTCCCACCCTTCTTTTCCTGAGTATAGCCCCTTCCTTTCACCCTAGAAATAATAACTCCCTGACAGGTTTAGTAATAATTTCCTCAATTTATTTTACCAACTATCTGGGCTGCTATGACAAGATACTTCACACTGGGTAATATATAAATAGAAGACAGATCTTGCTTACAGTTCTGGAGGCTCAGAAATCCAAGATAAAGACAACAGCAAATGTAGTGTCTGGTGAGGACTATTTCTCTCTTTGCTTCAAAGACGGTGCTTTCTTCCGGGGTCCTCACATGACAGCAGGGGCAAAGAAGACCCCTCAGGCTTCTTTTTAAGGGCACTAATCCCATTCATAACTCATGGAACCCTGCTGATCACCTCCCAAAAGCCTACCTCTTAATACCACCACACTGGGGATTAAGTTTTCACATTTCAACTTAGAGAGACATAAACATTCAGACTATAGCATTCTGCCTCTGGTGTCCCAAAATTTATTTTGTTCTCACATGCACATTACATCCCAGTAACCTCAAAACTCTTAAATAATTTCAGCATCAATACAGAAATCTAAAGTCCAGAGTCTTGTCTAAACATCATTTAAATCAGATATGAGTGAGACTCAAGTTAGAATTCATCCTGAGGCAAATTGCCCTCTGGTTGTGAATCTGTTTAATTAAACTTATGTGCTTCCAAAATACAGTGGAGGAGAAGGCATATGATAAATGTTTCTATTCCAAAAAGGAAAAATAGGAAGGAATAAAGAGTAAACTGGTCTCAAGTAAGACCAAAACCCTTCAAGGTAAACAAAAACAGTAAATCTTAAGTCTTGACAATCAACTTTGACTTGATGTCCTGCCTTCCGGACATACTGGTGCAGAGGTTGGAACCTCAAGGCTCCAGGTGACCTCACCCCCATGGCTTTGCTGAGCACAGGCCACACAGCAGCTTTCAGGGGTTGGAATCAGGTGCCTGTGGCTCTCCCAGTCTGTTGTTTCACACTGGAGGCTTTACACTTCCAGGGTTTTGGGGTAGCCCTGCTCCCATGGCTCCATTAGACATTGCCCTACTGGGGACTCTCTGTGGTGACCCAACTCCCACAGTTCCAGTGAGCAATGCCCTAGTGGGAGCTCTCTGTGATGACCCTTCCCCTGTGGCAGTTCTCAGCCTAGATTTCAAGGCTCTCTGGGGTATCCTTTGAAATCTATGTGGAGGTGGCCATCCTCCCATAGTTCTTGCATTCTGAGTGCCTGGAGAGTTGGTACCATGTGAATGCTGCAAAGGTTTACTACCCGCAACCTCTGGAGGGCCAACCACTGCTGCTGGCACCACAACTGGGCCCACTGGAGCCACACCGGGGGTGGCCAAGAAGTGCTGCATTTGAATCAAAGAGCAGAGATTTGAAGTGGCACTGGACAGTGAGTTAAAGGCCCCACATATGTCCTGGGCTCCTCCTTTTAAACCATTATGCCCTCGTGGCTCTGCCATCGTGGACCTATGATGGAAATGGCAGTCCCAAAGATCTCCACATTGTGTTCAGGGTCATTCTTTCATTGTCTTGATGAATGACACAGGGCTGAGTGATGCTGATCTCCTTATCAAAGAGTGACTTGGTCACGCCCGTGGTATTTTCTTCTGAACATGACCTGGCTGAGAATTTTCCATATTATTACATTCTTTTCCCTTTTTGATTATCTGTCTTTAGCTCATTTCTGTCTTCTCATATTTTATCATAAGCAATCACAAGAAGCCTCAACACTTTGCTTAGAGATTTCTTCCCGCCAAATATCCTCTTTCATCACTAGAAGTTCTACCTTCCACAAAACACAATTCAGCCACGTTTTGTGCCACTCTATAATAAGGATTGTCTTTCCTCTCATTTTCAATAACACGTTCCTCATTTCCATCTAATACAATGTCCTCATCAGAATAGCCTTTGCCATTCACATGTCTATTTAACACCAACATTCTGACCATGACCACTTAGGTAATCTCTGAAGACTGAGGCTTTCTCTACAGCTCTTCTCTTCTAAGCCCTCACCAGAATCATCCTTAATGCTTCATTAATGGCAATGTACAGTTTAAAAAGAAATCATGTATCCCCAAACTCTTCTAACCTCTACTCATTACCCAGTTCCAAAGCCACTTTTACATTTTAGGTATTATTTGTTAAAGTGACAGCCTGTTCTCAATACCAATTTCTGATTGAAACTCTAAAAACAGAGTTAGATTTTGCCAGATTTTGAACTTCATATTCATTATGTTTTGTTTTTCCATGTTTGTAAAATTCTTCCGTGTTGTTGCATGTAACTGATTCATCATCTCCATTGCCACAGTCACTATTGATAGAAATTTGGATTGTTATCAGTGTGGAGAATATTGTTATGTCCACGTATCCTGGTGTACATACAAACACATTTCTGTAGGATATATACCTAGAGTGGAATTGCTGGATCACAGGGTCTTCATATTTTCAGATACATAAGAAATGCTAAACAGGGATTTAAAGTGTTTTTACTGATTTACATTGCCACCAAAGGATATAAGAGTTCTTACTTTTCTACGTCCTCACCTAAACTTCATGTTAATCGGCTTCCTGAATCATTTTCAGCCTGAGGGACATCCGATAGAAGCTTTAATTTGCAGTATTCTGTTTAGTAATGTGGTTGAAAACCTTTCCAATTGTTTACTGGCCATATACATTTTCTCTTTTGTGAAGTGTTTGTTAAACTCTTTTGCTCATTTTTCTGTTAGATTATCTGTCTTTTTCTCATTGACTTGTCAGAGTCACTTACTATATCCTTTGTCAGTTATAGGATTGTTCAATATCTTGATCCAATAATAAGACAGATTCCTACCTTAGATGGGAGACAGAATTATATTCCATATAAAAGAAAAATCAGAGATATACTAACATAAATTTATCAAAGCACATATTAGACAGACAATTTTACAATCATAGAACACTATTTCAATTGCCATTCTCTGGTTATAGTGAAACTTGAGCATATTTAGTAGCTGAAAACCAATCTACTTTTTTAATTCTTAAATTTGCCTGCTCATTCTTATATTACCATGGTTTGTTCTGCTTTTATGATTTGTTGGGTGCTATTTATATTTTGCAAATCTGTTCTTCCAGTCAGTTATTGGTTCACTAACTTTTATAGTTTTTTCACCATGCAGAACATTTTAAACCCACCTGGTTTGCAGAGTTTCATGTCATTCTTCTGTCTTCTTGA